TTTGTAGATTTTGAGCAGCAGACTACTGGGAAACAAAACTGCTGCTGAATTCAAATGTAATTTTTGGCTCTTCCAAAAGTGTTGGCTACTATCTTTACACTCAGGAGAAGGCAGACATCTTTTTGGCGGAAAGCTACCAAAACTGGCAACTCAACACAAGAGTACAGATGAAAAAATAGACCTACAGGCCAGAGGGGTGAAATGCCCCTTTGACGCTCGTGAATGAGCTTTAAGACCTTCCTGTGGTCCGCGAGTTGGAGGGATTTGTCTCCTGAAACATACTCAGGGCACAACTGTAGGACACTGCTGAGTTTTAAACCTCTACTTTGAACTTTGACCGCTAACTGAAATCGACTAGAGCTGCTGCAGAGAGGGACATGTGGAAAAGAACATTAAACGAGTTACCTACTTTTCACAACCACAGAGGCCACAGCAGAAGCTTCCCCTTTCACATTGAGGGCAGAGATATGATACTTAGCAGTGTCGAAGAAATCACAGCTGGAAACAAAATGGTTATCACGATTAACTATTAACGGCATGAATAGATTCAGCGCTGCAAAAAACAAACAAACACTAATACCGTTTATCTTGGGTGTGTGCTGTTAATTCAGAGGCCAGCTGAATGATTACCTACTTCTTGATCTCCAGAGAGTGCATGTTGTAATTGCTCTCAGCTGTGTACTTCTCGGAGTGGGCTTTGGCATCGATGAGGACGTTGTTTTATACCTTAAAAGCAGCAGAAAACCAATGTTTATTTTTACTCTTGTCTTCAGAGTTTTTAATTGCCATGGTGCATGTAGGTGTTTATGTGGCAACTGTGGAAAATAAACTCGACTGACGTGTTGGATGGAAACTTCTCTATGACACACGCATGACAGACTGTTTTCATCAGCCTCTTTTTTTGTGACTCAGAGAAGAAGGGAACTTATAAACCTGGAACGTACCAGGCAATCCTGGGTTTGGGCCATCCAGCCACGGTGCAGTGCAACTTGACATCCTTGCCCTCCCAAACAGTCTGTCCACGGGGCTTGACAATGAACTCTGGGCGGTGTGTCAGGCTGTCTGGGTTCATTTTCTTACGGAACTCCGACCATTCCTCCATCTGTAGCGGGAGTGTGTGATATGAAGCCCATCAACGCCTGTATGGGTCATGTGAAAATGGTTAAACCTTTGCATTCACAAAACTATGGAAAGGATTTACCGTCCTGCTCATTTCCAGGCGTTCAGCAGATTCCCTGACATGCTTTGACCTGGTTTTCTTCTCCACTTTCACCTCCATGGCCTCCCTGGCCTCCCTGACAAACAGGTTCCTCATGGCCACATAGTTGATGCCCTCCTCTGTGACCTCCTCCTGGGCCTCCATTAAGCCCCGAACTACATCATGACTAGAACGATACAAACCAACCAAGATGTGAGAACAGAGAGGACACTATGAATCTCAGAAATTATACTGATTACTTGCTAAGAAATATCCACAAACTCAGATTGCATACTCACTTGGCTCTAAACACCGGAATAACATAGCCGATAACTTCTTTGTCCTTGTCCATTGCCAGGTAGGTGCGTTTGGCTCTCTTGGGTAGTGGGCTCAGTTTAACCACCTCCTGCCCCTTCTCTGTCTTCACAGAGATCTTCTTGCTAAGAGGTAAAAGGCATAATTGATCTTACTAAAGCAACAGTGTAGCTCCAAATAAATTGCATGATTATTATTTTTTATTATTATTATTTTATTAAATAATGATGTGCTGAGTGATTGTGGAAGATTCCTTGGCTTTTTTCAAAGAAAAAAAATTTTTTCATCTTCAGAAGAAATAAAATGCCAGTTAGCTGAGTGCCAGAGAAACAACCTGAGCCAGAATCAGACTTCTGCATCCGTTTGTTTTCTTGGAACAAACAAACAATAATAGTAAATGTGGTTCTCAGTCTTTTCTTCCAATCACACAAACTTTTATAAAGTTTTCTTTACCCAGTTACAACCAATGCAAAAATATTCTTGGTGGAAAATATTAAGAATCACATTACAATAGAAACACACCAGGATTTTGACAAAGACAGAAGGGCGATATTGTGCTTGTTTTTGATGTTTCTGTTTCACTCAAAACTAAACATTTAAATAAATATGGTGGTTACATAAAGACATATTCAGCTGGTGCTATAGTCCAGTTACTCAGAGAGGAAGATGTATTCCGGTTCGCTCCCTAAGATCCTGACCCATTTACAGTCTGTTTCATTAGCCTCTTAGTCCTCACTATTGTCAGAAGGCTTTGTTTTTAATGGAACTGGGACTGCTGTACATAAGACTTGTTTTAAAGCCTCACTCTCACTCATGATCTCTGCCAAGTCAGCGCTAGTCTATCCATTTGGCATGAAAAGGAAGCAGGAACGCGTGGCTTTGATGAAGTCTGTTATGTACTGGTGAAGCAGGACACAATCTGTGGAAGGTGCTCAATGCACAGCAGAGACAGACAGATGGAGTCTCACAAAAGATGCTGTAATGTCAGGACGTTATTTCTATTGCTGACTCACCAGGTGAGCTGAGAGGATGCCTGCTTCAGTGTGAAACAAAGTCAAAGGTAATAAAGTTTGATGGCTGAAAAAGAGCACTTCTTTTCCGACTGACAAGCTAAAGAATGTCAGTCTGAAAATCAGAATCAGTAAAGTACAAATTGATTTATTTTTTTTAGTAAATAAACAAGACACAGATGCTTAAAATCAACAACAGCTATTCTGTACTACTGGCCCACGAGTTAATACCTATCAGACTACTGTGAAAGCCAGCCTGCAACCAGCTACAATATCATCACTTCTTTACAATGTCTTTACAGTTGGCTTATAGGCAACAAGCTCATGTCGCATCTTCAAAAATAGCTTGGCTGTCCAGGAATATAACTGGCAGCCCTTCACTACAGCTGAAATTCTTTCCTTGACCTCATTTAGAAAGTTATCCCAGCTCCAGCATGTACACTGAGCACCACAGCTTAAATGACAAAGAAATGCTAACCATACTGCATGTTGGTACGGGAAGGTGCATGTTCATAAATTTCAGAGACAAAAGATAAACAAAAACAAGCCCAAGAAAAATCACTGGCTTAAAAATAGAACCTGACTGATATTTCTAATTAGGAGGAATACCGATACATTGGCTAATTCTTTTTTTTCAGACACATGAAACATATGCAGATTTTCCAGTATTTGATAGGTGTAAAGTTATTTACGTAGGCTGGTTGTGTTTAAGGGATTTGAAAGACTTGCCTTAACAGAAGTTACAGAGTGCCCTCTGGTGGAGAAACACTGCAACATCAACACTCAAATATGGCTGAAGGGTGTTTCTCCAATCTTCTTTCCCTTTTTTAAATGTTTATTTGTCAGTCATTATAAATGGTGATGCTGACAGAGCAGCAGACAGTTATCATTGTCCAATAGTATCGACCTGTCAATAAATCAGTCAGGCTTTATTTAAATTCCTTACAATATTCACTAATGTGTAGTTTTAAAGATGTCAAGGTAAGGCTGTAAACCTTTTGCCATTATTAACCTTTTTGATCAAATTGAAATCCTTAAATTGCATATTTTATTCAGCTTGTGGCCTAATAACAATAATGTGCAATTTAACAGAACAGAAAACAAATGAACAGAAGAAAAGAAATTATTTCATTGAAGAAATAAATGTCTTAGCAATGTTGTTGTATTCTAATGCTGTTGTTGTATTGTTGCATTCACTGTTTTTCTGTATTACTTCAGTGGGTTAATAGATAAAAGTATGTCAATATATCAGCTCTAACACAGTGGAAATTATTTTATTTAAACATTACAGTCTGATCCAACATTGCAAACATTCTCCCACAATGTTTAACTTGCAAAAGTACATTTATTTGCTGGCAAAATGCCTCATGAAAGTCTAGCGCCAAAGCATCACAAATAAATAGTTTGTCCAAGTTAGATAGTGTGTGGGAGTCTGTGTCAAACATTGGATCAGTTTGTCCCTCTCCTATGCACCTGCCTCCTTAAATAGATGTTATAGCAACAAAACTCATGTATAAACACAAACACATGAGAAAAAGCCTTTGGATATGAACTTAGAAACATTACTTTAAGATATAGACTTTATAAGTGGATTACTCTCATATAACTGGACAATTTAGGAGGTTCGATATTGACATGTCTGCTTTGACACTTAGAGATGAGATTTAAAATAAAGTCAGTTCACAAATCTGAGCTATAAAAAAACAAGGGAGAGTGGCTGTTGTTTACATCTATCCTTCTGTTTACCTGGCAGCCATGTGTAATGGTCCCCATGCTATTATGCCAAGACTCCAGGCCCTGAACCCTATTGCTTTCTGTACTTGTACTTACACACTTCTTCAGCTTTTTCCTATTTGAACAACTATTACAAAACATTTTTCCTTCAGATTAAATGTCTAATTCCTGATTAAACCTACCGTATGTAGAGAAAGAGCTGGAAGGAAAATACGTTGTCACCCTCATGATTTACCATTTAATACACTTTAAAACTTTAAAGGCCATGCTACAACAGTATGTTAACATTAAAAAGTGCTATATTTTCTTTTTTTAAAATCTATTACCGTAAAAAAGAAAATCAATTAATAAATTATAGCATAAAAAAGCACCTGCTCTCGATGAAAACCCTTTTTGTATGCACGCACTCTCCTTCCTGCTGCTAAACCCACTTCAGACCACAAGCACAATGCTGAATATTTGAAGGGGAACATTCATCATTTCTGAAGTACTAGGAGTGGCAGGTTACAACCTTGGACTCTGCAACCCCTTCACTCTAATCCTCTTACCGATGCCTGGTGGTCTTGAAAGTTGAGAATGACTGCTTGCTAACAGACGACTTGCTGCTCAGGTAATAGCTGCTCTCATAGAGATGCTGCTGCTGCTTCTCCTCATGTTGATGTTGATGCTGATGCTGCAGCTTCTGCGTCACTTGTAATGATGCTGACATCCTGACGGCCACTCCGCCAACTTATAATGACTGTCCTTTACTTTACCCGCTCTGTGAATCAATCTGACTGTTATATTAAAGACTGGTTTCTCTACTGGAGGTTAGTCTAGTGCAGAGGCCGGTAATAAGGTAGTAGGAGCAGGGATTAAGGGATAAGAGAATTGGTTGCTTGTTAAAAATATGTTTTTAAACTTGTTATTGTGATTTTTGTTTGTTTGTTTTGGGCAAGCAGCTTATGTGTTAGCTCTGGTTAAGATCTACTTTTGTGTTAAATGAAGCAGCAGGTGATAAACTGGTGGTTTTGATGATTTTTCAATTCAATTTAATTCAACTTTATTCACGTACTGTGAAATCACAGCAACAGTTGCTTCAAGGCAAAGTGAAGACCCTACAACAAAGAAAACCCCAACAATCATATTACCCCTTTGACCAAGTGCTTTGGCGACAGTGGGAAAGGAAAACTCCCTTTTAACAGGAAGAAACCTGTTAAAAGCCATCTGTCGTGACCGCTTAGGGTGGAGGGAGGAAGAAGACGGAAGGAAGTCTTGAACAATAATATGTAAATTTACAGTCAGATCATTTCCTGCAGTGGGCTTTTTAAATGTTTTGTGATGAACTGGACACCAAGCGTGGACAGATGGCAAGAACAAGTTAAAATATACTTACTGATTTTGCAGGTTTTGTGTAATTAAGCTACAAAATATCTATGTTCAGTACTTGCTTAATTGAGGGTTATTTAGTTATTCATATATCCGAGTTATAAAATGTCAGAATATTGTGACAATGGCAAATTCCTAAAGCCTAGATGGTTGTTTCTTCAAAATAAAAGTCCAACTTCAAAGGTTTTATGTTTATTGTAAGACAACATAAAGCAGATTGGAATGAATGAAATATTGATATTTTGTCTAATAATAATAATAATAATAATAATAATAATAATATCATCCAGCTGACCTTTCCCCATGTGAGGCCACTTAAGTTATTTTAGATATGGCTCAGGTTAAAAAGAAGAGCAGCTCCAGCTGGGAGGCAGGCAACAGTAACTATATGATCTGCAGTTTCTCCCAAATTACACAAAACTATTTTCTCCTTTTATGTGCTTGAGCAACATCTACTACAAGCAGACTAAGCCATCCAGAGTTACACACTGAACTGGACTGTAAGCCATGAAGGCACAGAATGCATTAAAAACATTTTAACAAGGCCAGGTCATAAAAACGTAAAGTTTTGTAAGGTAAGGCTGGTGTTAATTGGAAGATTAGGATGACACTTCACTACAATGACACATGCAGGCTAATATACCAGAGCACTAGTTCTCAAAATGAACAAAACCCTGTTAGTAGGGTATGTAATAAAACTGATTAATTAAAACACATTTATAAACAAACTAAGTAAAAAATAAATAATCATAATCATACAGTGGAAGCCGGCCTAGGGCCTTATGGAGTCATGGTTTTAAATGATAACCAGAGCACATAAGTACTTCCGCTTATTTAAGAAAATATGCACACTCACTCACCACAAATTAAAAATCCACAATCGCTGAAAATAAGAGAAAATGTGTGTTAATCCAGAAGTAGCTAAAGCAAGTTGAGATCCAGGCAAAGCAGCAGGGTGAGGGCAGTGGACAGGGCGGCAGTCCACAGAACAAAATAATGCTGCCACTCGGCAGAATGCGCAAGACACCGTCAGACCTTTTAAGGCTGGGGCAGCTTTAAATTTAGACCATGAGACCATGAGACAGGCCAGCTGAGCTGAGGAGCTTCTTTTTGGCCTGGCCCTCCGCTGTGTACTGTACTTCAGGGGCATATGCAGGACTCCAGTGGTTTCACCCAGTTCACTGTAATAAAAGGCATATGAACTGCACCACAAACCGAAAAAAGAAGAAGAAAAAATGCCACTAATAAAAGAAAATACAATAGAGGACGGGTTCTCAGTCTTAAAAAACAAAAACCTGCTAACCTAGTACAATCATATCATCCACCGACCAAATTTAACACCAATGCTGTTAAGTTTAAACTTCACTTTCCCTTAGATTATAGTTTAGCTTATTGTTTGAAATCGATCCGTTATTATTCCGCTGCGCAAAAAAAATATTTAGTGGTTCAACTTCCTTATTAAATATTGAAAACAAAGACTCATTAACCATTTTGGCTAATTCAAACAAACGTCTTGGACATGCAAGTAATTGCTGCCACCTAGTGGTGACATATGTTGACTACATTATTAGTCGTCCGGACAAATAAAAAACATGATTCAATTAAGGCTGTACTTATAATCGTATCAGTGTATAAATCATGGATTTATTATTACCACAAGCAGTACGTAGGTCATTTCATCCAAACAAGAAGAGGAGAGGACGTAAACAAACCCAAGGCGTGGAATATTCCAGACTGTTGGTTTCTTCCAACTTCACTCTCATTGGTCAGTTTAGGCAAGAGGAAATAAAACATTGATGTTCCTCTTCATCAGCTGTGGATGCTGTGGTAGCTGTGTGTGCAGCTTTTTGGGCCTAGAAATTATACGTTTTTTCTAAGGTAGGCGATTTATTTTATGTTTATGAAGCTGCAGAGTTTGAGGACTAAGGACTCGTTTTTTTCTTGTGAATAAATCTCTGCTAGCTCGCTAAGGCTAGCCTGGTCAGTCAGTTATTTAGGTCAGCAAGGGGTAGCTGGCAAAGCTGGCAAATAATTAAGGGGTTTTCTTCGCATTTTGTGTGATTCCTGCATTGCGCTATGTAGTGCGTGTGTGCTACAGCTCAAATATGAGTGATGTAAACAACATGTCAATACCTATATTTGCGTTATTGTTATGTTATTGCGTGACAGGTGAGCATAATTTGAAATTATATTGATCTAATAACATAAATATCCAGTAAACAAATGACAACTTAAGTGCTTTCGTATCACAAAACAAGTACCGAGTGCATATATCCGTTGTAAGTGATCATAGACTGAGCTAAACTCGTCAGACTCTTAGTTAGGTTCACCCATTACTGGATTGGACCCCCTTTGTCATAATTCGTTTAAATCTTCAAGGCATAAATTGAATAAGGAACTATATTTGACATTCCTAACCAAGTCTGCTTTGTTAAGAGACTGCACTGAGTTGGTGGCACATGATGTTCTTGTTGACTACGTACTTGTGTTAATGTAAAGTTGTACCTAACAAAGTGGCCACTGAGTGTATAATATTTAGCTGCTTTTAAAAAAAGGCAAATTAGGAGGCTATATGACAATGTGATAGTAGTGTCAACCAAATTGACTTTAAATTGAATTACCAACATCTTGTAACCATGTTAATAAGTTTCATTAGTATTAAATGCATTGCCTGAACTCACCTACATTAACCTTCCAGTTCATAGCTTGCACAGTAAATAATCTAAAGACACTTAATAGCCAGTGTAACCAAGGAACTTTCACCAGATGGAGAGCGTCAGTAATGAAGTCAAGATAAGAAAAAAATGTGAATGAATCTTTCATTTGAACGTGTTGCTTGATCCAAGCTGACAACTTTCATGCTCCTGTATTACAGGAGAGGGACTAACAACCTGCCAACATGTCAAGCAAAAGGGCCAAGGGAAAGAACACCAAAAAGCGTCCTCAGCGTGCCACCTCCAATGTGTTTGCCATGTTTGATCAGTCTCAAATCCAGGAGTTCAAAGAGGCTTTCAACATGATCGATCAAACAGGGACGGCTTCATCGACAAAGAAGACCTTCATGACATGCTGGCCTCATTAGGTAAACTTGATTTATTTACACATATTTAGTTAGTGATAACGTCTTATGGAGTTAAAACTGCATTATTTGGGGCTCGTATTCAGAAGTTAAAAGATTTCAATCTTTTCTAAAAACAAACCATTAAATGTGGTTAGCAGGTTAGAGTCACTCTGACCTTGAGCTTTTCCCAGGTAAGAACCCCACAGATGAGTACCTGGAGGCCATGATGAATGAAGCACCTGGCCCAATCAACTTCACCATGTTCCTGACGATGTTCGGAGAGAAGCTGAACGGCACAGATCCAGAGGAAGTGATCCGTAACGCTTTCGCCTGTTTCGACGAGGAGGGCACAGGTGAGCTGATGTGTTCAACTGTTTAAGTTTCGCATCTTTTTATGTGAATTTGTCTCAGACTCTGGCATGTAGAGACATTGTTTTGTAGTAAGTGCTTAATTTGAAGATATCTGCTCAGTGCTAACATCAGGAAGCACCTGCAAGAGTGAAACTGTTTCTTCACACAGGTGTGATTCAGGAGGAGTGCCTGCGGGAGCTGCTCACCACTATGGGTGACAGGTTTACAGATGAAGAAGTGGACGAGCTCTTCCGCGAGGCGCCCATTGATAAAAAAGGAAATTTCAACTATGTAGCATTCACACGTATTCTGAAACACGGTGCAAAGGATAAGGATGACTAGTGGGTTCATTCTTTACTCCATGTCTATGTTTAATGAGTTTCCATTCAAGTTAGGAAAGCTATGTTCTGTAATTTGGCTCATGACAAAGCTTTACTGTGGTCTACTTTACTGAAGCTCATTTGTTTAAGCTGCTTTTTGGACCTCTGGGTCCCTCCAACCAATCCTACTTTGAAAGCTTGTTTGCACATCTGTCATAACACTACTAGGGGGTCTCTATAAGCTAGTGGAGATGTATAAAAAGACCCCCACGGATAAAGCTGGAAATAAACTGACACCAGATGTCTGTTATTGCAAATGAATCAGCTGTATTTTATAGAATAAGCGTGGAGATTAAAATGTATTCTGAGAAGAATCACCAGTGCTCTTTATTTTTTTTAAAGTTTTATTTTAAAACCAAAGAATTCGATGTGATGCATCAGTCTTAGCACAAGATTCAAAGATACATGAACACTCAGGATCAGCCACTGGATTTAGGTGCTTGATTTCTTAGGATTCTTGATGTTGAATATAGTACATGCGATTGCGATATATGGACACTCCTGCAGTACTAACCTTTTCTTTTTTACTTGTAATTTTGCTGTTATTGCTCTGGGCCAATCAGTTTAAAACCCAAATAAATTTTGCTTATCACATATGATGAAGAAAATTTGCCAGTCTCACAAGTGCCAGACTCATATTGGAAAATCCACTCATCAGTTTTCTTAACCACTTTTCACAATTCATGGTCATGGGGGTGGGAGGCAGGGTACGCCTTGTACAAGGTCGCTAGTTGATTGCTTGTTCTCAAAAGACAGCATGGCAGGTAAAAGCCAGGGAACAGTGACCCATTCAGACCCATAAGGGCAATAAATGTTTATCCCACAACATAATAAGCCTCTTGTGGCCCAATGGGAACAATCCACTATCCTGAGTGGATATTGCTTTTTGGAACTTCCCCAATTAAACAGTGTCTATATATTTCTGATCATAAATCATTCACTGCAGCTTGTGCACAATGAGGAACAAAACTCATTATGTTTTAGACATACAGGGCAACAACGGGACATTTTAAGATATTTGGCATTGACAGCTCTTTTAGCTAATTAAATGGCATGTGATCCATTTCCTGCAAGTTCATGGTCAAAGTTTCTCAGTCGGCACTTTGTATCTGTCTTGAACCAAGAGGATTTGCTTGTGTTACGTATCCAACATCGTTCCTGATAACCAGCATCCTTCTTTCCACTTGATCATTTGCTTCACACCAGCAATAAATAAACCAGGATCTGCTTCACACGTGAAGCTTTCTGCACACTTTGCCATTGCTCACAGAGCAATGTATAGAATAAGTGACTAAAGAGACTGCACTATTCTGCCAAAGCCAGGTTTTTTGACTGGATCTTTGATAGATGGTCTGATATACAAGCCTCGATTTTGTCGCACTGGGCGAGGAAATCCTGTGGACATATGGTAAAGATCAGACTTATTTTGATTATCAATAGTTTTCAAATAAAGCATGATTGTTTTGTCAGAGGGAAAAACAAACACTAACCTGCACTGTTTTTATTAGTCCTTTTTTCTTCATTCTGCAGTCATTGAAATTTTCTGGAACACTCTGTTAAAAGAGGAGCAATTTGATGGTTTGCTATACATGACACACACGATTAAAGCAGACACTCAAAACAGATGCTTACGCTTAAAATAGCATTACCATAGCATCTATCTCCTCCAAGATCTTCATGAACTGCTCAGCTGCTATTTTTACTCTGTGGTCTAGTTTACCCAAGGCCTCTGCCTGGAGATCTTTGGCGAGAAAGCCCTGTGATAGGATAGGATAGGGGTGACAATAATACATTAGAAGATGGGACAAAAGAGAGCTGTGTAATATTTATTTATTTTCCTATATATTATCAAAAAACAAAAAGACCTATGATTGCTTACATTTTTCAGTCCAGTCAACTCCCCGTCTACCTTCTCCAGCTTCTTGGCCATCTGCTCCACACATTTCTCAATGTCTTTGAGTTTCCTCAGTTCAGCTTCTTCCTCTGGGCTGTTCTGTTTAGAGATTATCATCAGTGTTTTGCAAATGCACATATTCAGGCACCAGAGATGTAGCACATGTATAAATGTGCTTTACCCTCTTTCCAATCATCATGAGTTTGCAGCCTTCTTTTATTCCATAGCTGGAAAGGCTCTCTTCCATGTCTTTCAGTGACTTCCCTAAAATTAAAAAAGACAACTTTAAAACCTGACATTTTACATTAGGCCTCATTTGAGTGTGTAAAAAAAGGAAGACTAAAAGTCTACCTTTAAAGATAAGTTTCTGAGAGGCAGGTGGGACTCCGGTGGCTTGAGCGAGAGCATCTGACAGGTCTTTAACAGTGGGTCCTTTTCCATCCTCATGTCCTGTTAGCGTGATGCTGTGCTTAGAGGATCCTGAAATAGGAAAATAAATAAATATTACACAGCTCTCAAGCTATTAAGGATTGGGAGTTATCATTGTCACCCTTTTGTCTTCTATCGGTGTTATTCAGAAAGTAAATGTCACCTACCAGGATTAAAAAAACAATAATAAAAAAGTCTTTAAAAGTATTTGGACCCATCCAATTACAGAACATGCGGCATATCTCGGAAACTATCGCGCACGTTTGGTTCAGTTTTTAACGATGGGTTGCAAAATTTTGTTTCACTATCGTGTGAGGAAAATAATTACAAAACATTTAACAAGCGATTGGCAACAATACAATTTCTCTCAGCAGCCCTCCTGTTTCCCAAATGTGCTGTAAAGTGTCTTCAAACGAAACTAATTACAACAGCTACACAATTCTTCATAAACGTGTTTAATAAATGCTGATATTTACAGTAGTTTATATATTTAATTTGTTATTGAAGAACAACACATAACCAGCGGGATTCAAGTAACATAACACACAGTCTGTGGAGAAGAGCTACAGAAGCTGAGCCGTTTCTAGCTAGCTTTAGCCACAACGAAACCCAATTTTTACTTATATTTTGTGGTGATTAAGGTGTAGTTTAAAGCCGAAATCTTATTACCGTATGCGACTGTCATAGTTATCGTTTGCTCCGACATTTTGCTTTCCGGCGACCTTTAATCACAACATCAAACGCAAAGCTAACTGTTGCTTATTGCTAACTACTTCCGGTGTTACAGTTTAACTGGTGATCGCGTTAAGTGGTGTTATTCCATATGTTCCTCTCGCAGAGAATCCACGAAAAATAGCCCAGGGCTACCAGTGTGTGTAATGTTTGACTGGATTAAAAATGTGGCTTACCAAAAATAATTTATATGTAATAAGTTAATTAACAACAAATAAATAAAATCACCAGTTCATGCAGATACACACGCACATTGCTGTTCTAAATACATCTTTGGGGATCTGCCCGGGGTCATCAGGGATTTGGGGTCTTTCAATATCCTACACCCTCTCTCAGGTGACCAAGGCAAGATTATCTGCTAAAAAATGATTTCTGATATTTAAATTGTTGGCCTATAATCCATTCATGAGAGACATATCTCAAACACGTCTCTCATCAATGCTATCAAGTAATTTTGAGCCTGAAAGAACATTCCTGTCACAACAAAGAAGCTGTAAGTCACTTTTACATATTATTATTTATGCTGGAATAAAGTGTAATTGAGACTCCTAAATGTCTTTTTCAAGAGAAATATGGCCAAGAGTGCATCAGAAATTAATTGGATTAATTATATTTTACCACACAGAGTAGATACAACAATGAGAATATCTTGATGCATGCTCAGTCATCCAGGTAGGTAAATCCCCAAAAGCTTTTCAGTAGGAGAGCCGTTTCGTCACTCATCCAAGTGACTACTTTAGTCTCAGCTGACTTTAGGTTGATCAATGGTCATGAGAATTTACATATTAATGATCAATTAACTGACCTCCTAGCCCATTGTTCCTTCAGTGGTGCTAGTTTCAGTCATTATGCAAATGTACTGTTTATAAGATTGGGGAAACCTAAAGTCAGTTGGGACTGAAGAAGTCACTTGGATGAGCGACCTTACAAAACTTTGGTCATTCAAACCTTTTACAACAAGAGGTGTCAATGTATGTGACGAATCTACGACTAGACATATCTGGACCTACTACTTTTGTGGTTCTTCACCGATCAGCACGACCACCAGTTAAGCTTGAACACCGGAAGTACCCCCTTTTTTTCTTTTCTTTCACTTTTTTAAATGCAATTTTACTTATTTAATATTGAATTTATTATTTAAATTTTTTGACTTTTTATTTATTTACTTGTTTAAAAAGCGGAACAGCAAATACAAACACAACAGCTGCACACAAAAGTGATAAAACGCGAGCCGAAGTCTACAGCGCAACTTGAAACTCTTCGATGAAACTCTGCTGACAGAGGTAAATACATTTAGCTTAAGTGTGTAGAGTTTTCCTACAGTAAAGCTTTTTAAAGTCTGTATAATTGATGTCTGTATGTATAACATGTCAGGTCATGTTGCGCCAAGGGGGCTCTCCCAACCGGCTCTGTGGCGCAATGGATAGCGCATTGGACTTCTAGTCAAGCTCTTGAGAGGTGATTCAAAGGTTGTGGGTTCGAGTCCACCAGAGTCGCATTTTTAACCTGACCATCTGTCCTCCGAATCCTCTCAATACCGTTACTAGTCTAAGTCACGGTTACTCGTTAATTGCTGATATCATGCTTACATGATGTTCCTGAATATGTCTTTGGTTATGTGCCCGAGCTCATCGGTGCTTTCGTGTCTTTCACATTATCTCATTCCAGTCTACCACATCTGAGGATCAAGGGCTAAAAACAAAAGTGTCATTGAGATTAAAAAACGTGATGACAGACGTGGCCAGTGGGGGAGCAGACATTGCAACAATTATAACATTACAAGTCTATAATGATTTTTTACATGGCCAAAATAGGTCTGAATTCATGATGTTAAACAACACAAAACAGATAAAATAACGCAGAGTCGTGATATGTTTAGCTGTTTCGCAAATGTAGTTTCTGTATCAGCGCTAACAAAGGTTGTAGGTTCGTGTCCCACAGAGCACATTTGTAACTCGATTGCTGGTAATACCAGGCTGTTTCCAAATCACTTCAATGATGTCCTTATAAGTGAAGAACAGTTACTTGTTAACTGTGATTATTTGTACCAGGGTGAAAATCCTTTGTAAGGCACTTTTAGGGATTTGCTTGAAGTGCTGAGGTTTAAAGTAACTATATAAGATATTTACAATTCAAGTCGATTTAGTTTTATTTACGCATCACTAAACCCAAACAACAGTCGCCTCAAGGCGCTTTATATTGTAAGATAGACCCAATAATACAAACATCCACTGGTCACTTATGTGGTATATATTAGGTATATTAGGCCATTGTTTGTGAATGCAAATATGTAGTCAGCCAATCAAATGGCAGTAATGCGAAAAATGGCCTCAATCTAAAAAAAAAGACTTCAATCTGAAACACAATTGGAAACATAAATACATTTTGGACCTTTAACTGTAATTTCTATTTACATGACAGTTTGGGCAGAACATTTCCCATAATTAGATTTTTCTTTTTCTTTTTACAATTTAAGCCCAAAGAGTTGTGCTGACACATTTGCTTCATTATGTACAGCAGATTTTCTTTATCATGGAGAGAAAAACAAGACGCATTGTTTAAACTGCACTTCTTATACTGAGATATCTCAGAGAAGTTTAAGTAGTGCACTTAAACTACTTTATACCGAGAGAAAGGGGCGTTTCACTGGTATGGCCCTACTTAAGTAAATTTGAATGTGGTATGTTGTTGCTGCCAGACGGGCTAGTATGAGTATTTCAGAAACTGTTGATTCACTGGGATTTCTCCACACAACCATCAGGGTTTATAGAGAATGGTTCAAAAAAGAGAAAACATCCAGTGAGCGACAATTCTCCAGGTGGAAATTACTCAGTGATGCCAGAGGTCAGAGGAGAATGGCTACACTGATCATAGCATGGCAACAGAAAAAATGAAAGGTCCACTTCTTGCCATCCAGGTATGGCCAAGAGCTCTCAAGCCTGAAGCAGATGGGTTACAGTAACAGAACACCACACCTGGTACCATTCCATGTCACCTAAGAACAGGATAACAAGATATTTTCTTGACACACTTATCGTTTAAACACCTCAGCCTACCTGAGTATTGTTGCTGACCAAATCCATCCCTTTATGACCACACCCACAGAAAAGCATCCATCCTTTGATAGCTGTTTCTCACAAATCATCTCAAACTAGTTTCCTGAACATGACAGCAAGTTCGCTGTACTCAAATGGACTCCAGATGTGGTGGAGCAGGAGACTCACATCATGGATGAACCACATCTTTGAGGAATGTTTCCAGCACCTTGTTGAATCTATGCCATGGAGAATTAAAACAGGCTGACGGCAACGTGGTACTAGCAATGTCTACTTAAGAGCTAAAAACAAGATAGAGGAGGATGAACAAATACGCCATAAATTAAGAACTCACAGCTGATTTAAAACAAACATTTTTATTTTGCATGTTTCAAATAACCCTGCAGATATTTTAAACAGCCCAAGTGTGAATAACCTCCACTTTTGAGAATGCAGACATGATCTTAGTGACTAAAAATCACACAAAATTAATAACAAACAGAAATAAATAAACACTAAGGAACACTAATGAACGACACAGACAAGCTGTTGATGATGAAAGAAAGAGAAGATGAAGGGAATTATGTTTAAAAAAAAAAGGTTTAGTATGTTACAAGGCCACATGCCAGCACGGTAGAAGTAACAATACACAACCTGAAACCAGAACAGCCTCCAAATTGTAGTGTTCTCACATCAAATGGTTTTGCATGTATAAATGTTACTCTACATATAAAAGTGTTTTCAGTTCGAGTGCAGCTGTTTTTATTTGCTTCTTGTTTATGTGGCAGGAATCTGAGGGAGGCCGAACTCATCCACGAGCACACCATCCTGAACACAAAAGAAGAAAAAAACATCAGCCACGAGCAAAACACTTACATTTCAAGTGTTACTCACTTAGCAGGTTTGTGTTTAAACAATAGAGTGGACTGGAAAAAACTTAGTTTTGCACATTATAGTTAATCTACCAAACACATACACAGGATTAGAAACTGGCACCAGAATTCGTGGCAGGTTTAATAGTTTGCTTACATACACAGTCACACCCCAAAGGTCCATTTTGAAGTAGGAAAAATTCTTTATGATTACTTTTTATTTTACTTTCATGTATTTTCCACAACCCTGCCCTTCATGTCATGAAAACTGAGCTCTGTAGACTGTCACCTTATTTGTCTTGCTGTCACTGGGGATTCCCTCAGGGATAGACGGGGCAGCTGAGGCCTCATCCAGGTAAGAGGTGTCATCATCCAGCAGCAGCTCATCACCCAGTGCATCCAGCTCTGAAACCACAGTGGTACTGTCACTGTAATACTCCAGATCATTGCTCAAATTACACACTAGCAAAGAGGTCTTAGCTTCAATAAAAAGAGATCCAAGCTGTCCTGGAAGCTCCACATCGTGGATGCTGAAATCTGAGAAAGAGCCCCAGGAGGCAAAGAAGGCAGAGAATGAGTGTGATATAAAACAGAATTCAAACAACAGTGCCAGTGTATCTCCTGAAAAAGAGATTTTATGTGCCTAAATACAGGATCATAAAATATTGCCTTCCCAGAATGTAACTAAAAGGCATTTTAGATAGGTTCTAGCAACCCTCGAGTGGAAGGAGTTGAATGAATGGGACAATAGAGGAACCCATGGATCCAGAAAGTCCAGACTTTGTTTCCTCTTTTTTCCTTTATATAAGGGAAACTCAGTCCACATAAGCTCCTCGGATTCACAGAGTCAGATTTCACAACAAGTGACACAGGACAACCATTCACATGTGGCACAATGGCTCGCACATTGGCCTTCTAAGAATACACTTAAGGAGTGATTCAAAGGTTGTGGGTTCAAGTCCCACCAGAGTTGAATCTTTAACTTTCCCTCACTATAGAAGTTAGATGCATCTAACGAAAAGGCATTTTAGCTACTGGGTTAAGCCTCAAATAACAAGTCGGCATAGACAAGGCATGTCTATGCAATAGCTAGCACTTTTAGTAGATTTTTAAATTACTTT